CTCTCTCGCTCCCTCTCTCTCTTTCACTTGCTGTGTGCGTGACCATAAAAATACCAAAAATTACTTTCACTCTATGCAGCTACATATACCCCCAAGCCCCAATCTTCCCATAAGCCCAAAAATCAACTCGAGTAGCGCATTACATTCGCTTCGGTTTAGTGTGTAGGTTGCTTGGAAGGGGGCGGGGTTCATCAGTCAGAGGCGCCGCTCGTAACGTTCCAAACAAATTATAAAATGCATCTATTTTATGATCGCACCCAAACAGGTGACCATAGAAAGGCGTCGCTTAATCACCAAGTGTTACTAGGTGAAAGACAAATTGATCCAGCCCCGGCGGAATCTTGTTTGGCAAAAGGTTACAAAAGGGTTACAAATTATGTCCAAGCTTGTGAGATAAATAATTAAAGAAATGCATTCAAATTGAGCAGCTGATAAAGTGGCTCATTTGACGTGAGCAAAAAGCTTTGCCGCCAAGTCTAACTGTTGTGCGGGATTTCGATCTAGAAAATCGAAAGGTGAAAAGGCATTCAATGGGGTCTCTATCTACTGAGCATATCAGAAAATGAAAACTAAGAAACAGTTTCGAGTTTTTTCTTGTACTATTGCATGATATAGTTAGAGGATGTTGGCATATGGATATTGACAATGTGGCAATAAGAAAACTGGTACAAAGGACGATCAGCTTCCCAACGAGGCTAGAATATTTTATAGAGCTAGTCCTAAGATAAGGATAAGCTAAGATAGCCCGAAAAACAAACAAATTTTATATACAAAAGTAATTGAACGGAAAAACGGATCTTTTTTTATATTTGTTCATTTGTTTATTTATTAATTTATAAAACAAGAGATAAGCAGACAGAGATAGCTTTTTCAGCTCATCTAATTATACTGAACAAGAATATATAGAACCACGACAAACTCATCTAAATTTATAAAAACCATATTACCCTGTAAAAAAGAAGCCTACCCACATCTCTTCGAATATTTGCCTTGGCATTGTCTGCCTCTTCAACTCTTTACCTATTCCCTCTTCAGTCTTTAATATCAATTTGATCTGGTTCACTTCTTATCACAATCAAATGGCTGAGCAATGTTAGGAACCTCGGCACTTGCATAAGAGACAGCCAGACAAATTGCCTTTGCCAGAATTCTGGTTAAAGGTTGATAGGATTGGTAGGGACAGGGGGAGGGGGGTGACAGAGGAGTGGGGATCTTAGCCTTTTTGGCTAACTGCGTGTTGGCCACGCTGAGGGTCGTTGTGGGCACAACAATAATTCAAATGAGCGCCACATTATTCAAAATCATGCGACAGTTGGCGGCGTTAACGAATCGAGTCAGTCACTCACTTTTAGTGAGAGTGTGGCCCCTCTCCGCTCTCCCCCGCACACCACACTCCCCACTCTTAACTATAGTAAACTTGGTTTTGATTCATGGTGGGCACTCATTGTTGCTGCTGCTGCTGCTGCCTAATCGCCTTGGCGACACCTATGCTCGTAGGCGCGTTATCCACATCATCAAGAGGCGTCTCGACTCTTGACTCTCTTGAGTCGCCAGTTGCCCGGTTGCCCAGTTGCGGAGTTGCCAGACCGTAACTAAAATGAGATGCCAAAGAAAATGCAATTACGTGTGCACGCTGCGAGTTGAAACGGGTTAGGGACAATTTAGGGACTGGGCAGCGAATAAAATTCCTTATCGCGCAGAAGAGACAAGAGAGAGAGAGAGCAAGGGAGCGAGGCGAGTGGCAAGGGCAAGATAAGTGGCGGCAACAAAAGACGCTGCCGCAATTAATCTTCGCTTCTGAGTTGCCTTCCAGGTGAATTGTGTGGCATGCGCACAAGGGGCACACACACACACACATGTGTGTGTATGAGAGACTTAACTCCTTTCTATAGGCACAAGCTTATGCTGCTTGGACCGCATTCAACTTTAACTTATTGAATTATAAATTATTGTAGTGTGTCCCCCTTTCCACCCGCGTCTTGGCAAGACCTTTGGCAAAACCTGGCCAACAAACTTTTGGCCATTGACAGCTATTTTTTTGCTGTTTTTTTTTTTTGGCTCAAACTCGCATGACCCAAGTAATTTGGCTTATGATTTTTGCCCGACCGTCTGCCTACGTGTGAAAAAGTCAGTCAGGCGTAAGTGCGTCCGGAATTTAGTTGGTTAAGCCATATGCCAGGCATTTACCTTTTTGTGCATACACATTTTGGCCACATTATGCAGCGAAGCGTAAGAGATGGACCCACACACGCCTAATCACCTGGAAGTAATACCTATCTATGCGATTTATCGATTTCGTCTGACATTGAAACCCAAAACGTCTGATAACTCAATTTGCCAGGCCAACTCCAGCAAATCTCTCGGATTGTCTGTTGTTTAATTATTTTGCAATAATTCTTTGAACATTTCCCATATGCGTGACGAACTCTCAATTTTTGAGCTGCATCTTGACCCACATTTTGTGAGTTTTTGAATTTGGATTGTTTCAAGTTTTGTGGCTTGCTCTCATTGTTTTTTTTTTCTATGTCTTTCGAACTTAAGTGCACTTTTGAAGCATTTTATTTATTGCACGACTTTTTCTTTCTTTCTTTCGGAAAGTGTTTCATAATTTAGATTCCAAGTCCCAAGCCATGGACCACACGTCGCCATTGTCAAGTGTCGCCAGTTTTAGATATGATGGTATCCAACCACTGAGCGCTGTGGGCAGGCGCAGGCAGGCTGCGGCGTGTGTGGCTTTTATTGTCTGCACATAAAAAATGAACGAAACAAACCAGAAAAAAATATGAAAAAAAAACAAAATGAAATTTACTATTTGTTACATTTTGAGCGCATCATTTTGGTGTTTTTTTTTATCTATCGGGGTCTTTGCCTCTAATTGCATAGAAATGCGCTCACATTCACATTCACATATATGTTTCCTCATATTCGCCGGGCTCGGTTCGGGGTTTCTTTTTTTATAGCTTACTGAGGGTCGCTTGGTCTGGGAGTCTGGCGTTTATGACGCGCTCCAAATTTGAGATGCGCTCGTTGTCTTATTGTGTTTGTATTTTCTGTTGATGTATTCGAGATAAGGGCGGAACTGACGTCTGACCTTTTGGCAACTGTGTTTCTCGTACTGCCTCGTTCCCATTCTTTGACGCCCTGAACTTGACCCCATTCAATAGGCAACCAGATGATAAGCATTCTCATGTTATGCATAGCAAATGATATAATTTATTCCACAGCATAATTCGATTACTTAATGGATTTGCTTTTACGTATATGTACTTCTTATTCTTCTTTTGGATATCTTAACTATACATATGTTATTTATTCTATAACATGTGTAAGTGTTTTAAATCTAGTTCTTAGCATTATCTGTTCATTATCAAGTTTGTAAAACTTCCTTCTTTTCAATACATATTCACCAAACTAGATATTTCTGTGTTTTTCTAGGCAACTTATAAGCACGATCTTATCTTGATTGGATATATATCTAAATCATGTAACTATCATCTTTCCGTCAAGGACAGAATTCGCAATCTTAAAATTTACAATTTTATGGTTTATCAATATCAATTGCTTGTACATATATTTTCTTTAAATAACTACAAATTGATTAGAAATTAAATTTATAAATTCATGGACCTAGCTGCTATTATTAATAGGTCGGATCATAAACGTATAAGATTCATATACAATATATTCGTTAATGTACAAGTAACCTTTTAGCGCATATTCCACGCAATCGGAAAAGGTTGCTTGGATATCGTATTTATTAATGGCTGTGAACCTTTCTCCCACACATTTTGGTAGATAGGTTAAGAGATTGCCCGAGTGTTGACCCAATGAAATTAGCTTGTTGTTCTCCAGATCGTTTCCAATTGAAAAGTTATTATAATGCGCATAACCGATATGATTGTGATAGTATCGAAAATATATAAGCAGTTCATGTTGTTGGGACTCCATCATGGCATAAAACTTATCCAAGCCTATAAAAAACTCACTATCCGGAATCCCTAAGCCCGTGTTAAAGTTTTGCCAAGTTCGTGTCTGTATAACTGTCCAATCCGAGTTGTAGAATATAGAGAAAATAGTCCAGTCGTGTAACTTGAACTCACAGGTACCCTTGAATCTCAAATAAGGTAGCCATGTAATGTAGCTATGAAATATTTGCTGCGAATCACAGTTTAAAAAACTCTTGAAATGGTTTTTCTTTTCTTCGCGTTGCAATTGATGCTCTATTTCCGCGGAATTATTTTGTTGCCCTTCCGCTAAATTGGCAACTAAGCTAAAATCTATTGACTTTAATTGGTTTTTAATTTCGGATATTAAAATTTGTAATTTCTCTTCATCCTGTTCTATATCAGCTTCCAATATTTCAATTTGGGATTTCCATGCTTCAATCTCTGAATCACATATCTCCTTATCAGCCAGAGTGTAGTTGAGTAAGGTCAGCAAAACCACAAATCGGAATTGCATCATATTTAGGTTTATAGGTATTTCTTTTTTTTTTTTGCCGTGTATAAACTTTGTACACAGAAGAACTTAAGTAAAACTGATTCTGTGAAAATGGACTAATGTGCGCAACAGCACGAAGCTGTTCACAGATTCACGAGGGGTTCCAGAGGCTATCTGCTACAGCAGAGGCTATCTGTGATAACTACAAACAACTGTACAAACAGCTATATAATACAGTACATATATGTTGGGAGGAAACTGAAGCACGTAGTACAGAGTTTCAGGTCGACAACATTCAAGTTTTCTATGGAAATACTTATGAGCAACAAAATTAAAAAAAAAGAGTAGTTTGCGAAACTGCTTAATTGACTCGCCGGTTGCTATTGATCGCGAATTGGTACATTTTATGGAATCGAAGTCGTCCACACATTGCACGACAAAATTATAATGCCCGCTGGAAGGGTAGAAAATGCAGCTACTGAGCATCAACAGGGAAGCCCAATGCCAGCGTCTGTCATTGATGATAATGGACAATAAAAACGTATCTACATTTTATTTATATGAGCTTTATAATATATAAATATATTAAATACATATTTTCTGCTGAGCTATGTATACGACGGCGCATTAGGAATTTCTCTTGAAAAGACAGGATATAATGGAATTCCAATGATTCTTTGCATTATCAAGTGCATTGGGGCACATCAATTGCGGACGTATCATCATTTCGACAGATCTAAAAGTCTCCGGCCAGGTATGCCATTGGCTCGTCTGTGCATTCAAATTGCTGCATGCAGGAAAAAGTTATATATAAACAAATTCAAATAAGCTCTCTAGCAATTATTTACCTTTCTGCACCCGAAAGGTGGCAACTCATCCACCAGCCAACATTGGCATTTGTTTTGATCTTATCTTGATACCAATAACATAGGCTGTCATATGTCGTAAATGGCTGATTTAGAGCAAATTTTAAAGCATTACCAGCATTGCCAGCATAACCACCCAATTGTTTCAATTTATAGTTCTCTTTGTAGTCGGCAATCTCGAAATGACTATAGAGCGCATAGCGTGTCTCGCCCATTTGGTTTTCGAGGCGTATATACAACTCATGGGGCTTACGGCTTGTCAATTGATACAACTTTCGCAGGCCAATGAAGAAGTTGTTTGAGCTATCACCAAATCCGCGCTCGTACGCGCTCCAGTTTTGTTGAAAGATCAAATTATTATTAATACGTCTATGTATAACTGTCCAGCCGGGTCCGGCAATATTATCCCCATCGCAGCTTGCTTCGAACGAGCCGTCGATCATATAGGATCCGCTCAGTTTATGTTCGGGTAAACATAACGTTGGCTCTATTCTCAAAAGCGCAGCTCTATAGATTTGGAACATATTTTCTAGTTCTTCGAACTGCCTCAACTGATTTCGTATGATATCGAGCTCTTCTTTGTTATTAGTTGTATTCATCTGGTTTACATTTTCACTAATTTCTTTTTCCAATACTCCTGCTATTTCTTCGTACTGCTGAATTTCGTCTTCATATTGTTTCGCTTGAAGCAAGAGCTCGGTTATATTCTCTGAACTGACCGCATCAGCTGAGTCCTTCGCTCGCAGAACTGAACATGTTAGCAAAATAATCGCTGTAACACTCCAAATTTGCATTTTAAGTATATATTTTTAATTATGTTGGCAATCTATTTATTTGGAATTTATTATTTGCTTTGCAGTGTTGACTTTACAGCATATAAAAATGAACTGACCGGCATCGTCATGTGTATATATTTATTTTATAAATATTGTGCTCTTGGTGTTTGTTTTTTACTCTTCCTATTTTATACTACAGCTGATAACAATTGGTTTATAAGCATTAATCCGCTTTCAAAATACTCTAGAATCGAATTTTGAACATTTCAATCAAATTTTGTAGGCCTTAGTTGCATGTGTTTCCTTTGTTTTTGCTTGAGTTATCAACGTTTTTTCAATGAAACTCTTTGGTTCTGCAATTAAGAGTACATATTTCTATACAAAATTCAATATTTACGCTTATTAGTTTCCAGAGATAAACTTTTTCCGTTCAGGAATCAGCATAGCATATTTTGCTTCATGCGTCTTTAGTATTGTTTATCAGATTTCTAGGAATCATTTCATATTTAACATGTATATGACACGTGCTTATACCCTGTATCTACTGACAACTAAGAAGAAGCGTTCTTGATACACTGTTATCAATAAAAAATGTTGACAGGCTATAAGGGCTTTACCCTTGTTTAGTTAATTCAATTCACACAAATTTGGGTATATGTATATATATATTTGGTGAATTTCAAATTATAGGATACAGAGAGCTGCTTGCACAGTATCTCCCAGTCCAGCACTCACAATTGTTTTAAAATATATTAATTTGATTTATTGCTAACATTAAAGCTCAGCTTTGCGTGCAGGGTATCTATAAATACATACATGATGCTAATGTTATAGAACTGTATAAAGTCCGACTTGCAATGACTTTTTGTATAACTCATATATAGTATGACAGATAGTTCTGATTAATATATTTCAGAAGTTGTATCCTTTTTTCTTTTAATTATTTTCTACTGTCCTCATATAGCTTTTGGACGTATCATGATCACAACGGATTTAAGTGATTTAAAGCACAGCCAATCTGGCCAGAAGATTCCAAATATTAGACTTTTGTAATCCGCGACCAAATGGTGAACACCATTCAAATCACTGGAAATAAAAATATGAAATGTATTGCACATAATGCAACTGCATTTTTCATATTGCGGCACTGAACAATATCATCTGGGTTCTAAGGCAAATAACGCAAGACTGAGCACGACCATAAAGTGATTTACACATGAACAATATAAAACAGGGTATAAAGAATAGGGAATGGAGAAATGAGCAGATTATTGATGTAGGTCATGTTTTTTAAGCTCGTTTGAAACTGGCTTTTTGAGTGGAAACCGATACAAAACAGATTTGCAAATGACTTAAAACTGTATTCGTTTAAATATATTGAAGCCAGTTTTCTCAGTCTAGAATGCCTATATCTTATATATTTTATCATATCTTATCTATATATCTTTTATATTGAGGGAATATAAAGGGAATAGTTTAGAAAATCACCTGTTTGTACGGTATTACATTTACAGTCACGGTGAAAATGTTTCGAAGACATATATAAAACGGCTTACAGCCGTAGTTCAAGACTGCTTTATTTAAACCAGTTTATTTTCATATTAGGAGTGCAAAATACAAGAAAAAGTTTAAATAGAAGTTTCATACATTTATCAAAACTGCAATAAATCTCTATCATAATTTTCGCTTTGGCCTTCATTTTAACTACCAGAAAATAAAAATATTTTTATCAATAAAAAAATATATGTATATATATATACATAATAAAATTGCAATTTTATCGCATGCGTTACAAAGTGCATTTCTCTTATTTGTTTATATTATGTGTGGCCCTTTTTTTAATGGACCACTTCAATTGTAACTCGATGCCACAAGTTGCCAGCTCTCAAGTCTCGTGTGACAAGATGAGCTCAAAGTATTTAGTATTTCGTTCGGTCGGGCTGTGTCATTGTTGAAGGGCCTGCTCTATCAGGACAGAGCGCGTCATGCTGCTGATAACCTTCACGAGTTTAAAGAAATCAATTTTCGAAATTACTTTTATTTTCGGTTTGACGCTGCCTTTATTGCATGCATTTGTCGCCTTAGTTGAGAAAAAATTCAATTTTTCAACCCTGCCACACAGTTGTGTTCCCACCAAGTACAGCGTGTAATTTGCAAAATGTGTTGAGTATCTTTGAGATTAGAGAGAGAGAAAGACAAAGGGAGAGAGTGATGAGAAAGAGGGCGAATGGGCCATTGTCGGGTGAAGAGTCTGTGCAATTGATTGATATTCGAGCTGGCCGCTTCGGCCGCTGTTTACCAAAGTGATAACGTGGCTCAGATTATGTTGTGATCCGATCACCGGCACAACTACTCAATGAGTGTGTGCCTTTGTGTGTGTGTGTGTGTGTGTGTGTGTGTGCATCATTTTTCACATCACGTGCCACACGCGGCCATCGTGTGCGAACGCCAGCAAATTGCGACATTTTGCAACATGCGTTGTGTCCTCTTAAATTTCAACAATTGTCGCATCGAGTGCTTCTAGTCCGCGCCCTGCTGCCTCCTCCCTCTGCAGCTCTCCTCGCCTTGCCCAGCGGGAGGAAGGCGTCAGCCAAGCTGCAACCCCTGCCCCCGTCGCAGGCGGCGCTTCAAAGCAGCTGCGGCATTTGGCAAGCAGTTGGCAAGCCACCAAACGTTGCCAGAAATATGCCCAAATCCTACGTCTTGTCTGCGGCTGCCACTCATATTTCTACAGCCAGAGCCGACCAGACCAGACCAGAGCAGAGCAGAGCATACCCGACCAGACTATAACAGACCATATCATATTCCTGGCATTCGTTTTTTTCTTTCTTTTGGCAGCTTCTTTGCGCTTTCAATGCGGCAATAAACGGAATTAAAACTCCAAATTAGCTCGCTGCAGTTGCAAATAGTCAAAGGAGAGCCAAAAAAATGTAGAAAAGAACAAAAAAAACTCTATTGGATTATGGATTTATGTTATGAATTTGAAATTTTTAAGCTTGTACGTGGCAGTTGCATATGTGCATGGTGAAATATGTAAATTTAAATATATAAAATATAAAAAAATACTTCTGTATGTAAAATGAATACCATTTGCATTCATGCATCTTAATTATTCAATCAAATAATTCAATAAAAATAAATAAATAAGACTACAAGGTTATAAGTGTGCACAAAAACATTGTACACTTTTAAACCCTTAAGTGTATATATAATAAATTAAAAATCTAAATACACATAAGTAATATATCTATGAACCCACCTAAAGAAGACCTATAAGTTCTATCTTTCTGCAGAGGCCTAAGGTTTCACAACGCAGTTCTCTAAGAGAAAATAGTATTTTATCTTTGCTCGTGCTCTTTATATTCCACATAACGAGTTAAAGCTTTCCGGGGCAGCTCTTAGTTTTGCCGGAATTATAGATTCTAAGGATTCCTTGATAAGATCGCAGTCGACAAGTAGCTTAAGATGGCTTCTCAGTTGATGAATACAGCTTCGACAAAAATTAAATTCTTTAATATGGTTCGAACATTACATTTAAACAAGATCCTTAAAAAGTTTTTATGCATTAACAACAATTGCATTTCAAATTTTAACTTAGTGATGTCTTCGATTTTCAGTTAATAATTTGTATTAACCTTCCACATCGTCCAAGCTGGCAGCAATGCTCGTCTAAAGTAGTTGCACACTTCTAACCACAATTTGGCTACCACCCCGCCCAACCCTGACCCACCAAGCCCTTAGCCCGGGCAATCAGCTTGCATTGATTGCGCTTTGCCATTGCCGGATTTGTGCGTCATTATTTTATGTAATCCCCTGGACCGCGGCGCTGACCCATGTGAAATAGGGGCAACCGACACGCAATCGAAATAGATTTTCTTTTTTTTTCGGGTTTGTGGCATTTCTGATGGGATGCGTTCAAGTGCGAAAAACAAAAATAACAACAACAACAACAGAAACTTCACAACTGCTAATGGAAAATTGCGAAAAACTAAAAGTGCGCGCGTGATATCGAGGGTTCGGGCTGGAGTGGAAAGTACTGAGTACTAAGGAATGGAACGGTCACATTAGCCGGCTGTTTGTCATGGTTGTGACCAGCAGCTGCTCCAAATGCTGCCGTAGCTGCTCCTACTCTCACTCCACCGACTGCTGCACACCCTCCCCCTGCTCAGCGAGGCAAATGAAATTTGCAAACAATTGAAATTGAATTTGTATTTCAAATTTGACTTTTGAGTATGTGTGTGTGTGCGTATGCGTGTGTGTGTGTGTGTGTGTGTGTGTGTGTGTGTGTGTGTGTGTGTGTGTGTGTGTGTGTGTGTGTGTGTGTGAGAGAGTTGCTACAAATGAAGACATTTGACAACTTGATTGCTGAGCTACATAGTTGCCGCGGGGCCACGCCCACAAACACACACACGCACACACACATACACTGCCTCAAAAATGTACAAATCACTCAACAAGTCGACGGCTGCGGCGCATAAATGTCTCAAAGCAAAACTGCATTTTAATTGCCCAACAAAATTTGTGAGGCGCTTCGGCAACTGACAGTCAATGCTGGCGGAAGAATGTGCGAAAAAAAGCAACAGATATAAAGACTATTAGATGCTCTGTAGTAAAAAATGACAGGCCACAGAAACTGTTTGAATATTGCTTAAATAGTATCAAATAAGTTTTCTAAGATATGTTTATGCTTGGGAACAAAATACATACATATTGTGTCTATAACAGTTTTATATTAGTTTACAGGGTATTCAAGGCATGATACATTTTATCTGCATGTGGCTTGCAAAGTTTCATACAAGATTCATACTTTAAATCTCAGTAATCTCTAAGATCATTGAGTTATAAGATAGGTGCATTAGCTGAACTGTATAAGATAGTTGATAATCAATAGCTATAACAATAAAAACTAGTTTATTTAATCTAGAAATAGTACAATGTATAAAATGTATGTATTTAGAAATTATTTTGTCTATAAACAAGTAAGACACTTTATTCTAGAGATAGTATAATGATTCTGTCTTTAATCCTAAATCCCCTTCTCCATTTAAAAGTTCATTTGTGTATAATATACAATTTATATCAAAGATTCT